GCGGCTGTTCTCTGGGCCATCTGGACCCTTCGAAACGAACGGTGTCGACAGGGCAGGGTGATCACCCTGCAAGCTTTACGCGCACGGGTCCTGGAGAGCCTGCGCACGGCCATGTCCACTGAGGCTCTGCGGAGTAGGAGATCCAAAGATCACGGTCTGACGAAGTTCTGGGCCGTCTGGGGTAAGTATCCAGGCTTGGTACAGCAAGATGGGAATCCGGGGCTATGGAAATATGGCCCGGCCCTGTGCAGTCACGGGTCTGCTAAGGACTAGGGTATAGTAGATGGCTTGAGCCTGAGTGATTTTGTGTGTTGTTTTTTTCCTGGGGTATAGTAGGGTAATCGGTAAGGGGAGGGAGGGGGAGGGGAGGAGTAGTTGCTGTAATGAGGAGGATTGGTATTAACACAGCAGTACGCAGTCAACAGGGGTCTTTCTCAGTCCTGGTTTCTTAGTGTTAACAAGTGTAGTACACAGATACGACTATAGGGGAACCAGTGTGATTTACAAGGATAGGGAACATGAGGTATAGGTGGAGTAAACTGAGTATAGTGATTGAATGGAACGGTTTGGTTATGAGGCTAGTTGACTGGACAGGAATGCCCCCCCACAGAGGAGTGGAGGGTCGAGACGGGCTATGGGGGGGTCTGGGTACCGTCTGGATGTTTCCCGCCCCTCATTCCCCGCCCCGACGTCCCTCCTGTATTGTGGGAGGCCATCCTTGTCGCAGCCCCCTTCTGTTGGTGTCTCGGGCCAGGCAGGTTAAGCCTTTCCTTCTTCGTTTTTCTACCACCCTTTCTAATTCACTGTGACTCTTTTTGCTTGCCGGTGATAAGCAACCGGACTGAAGCCCCCCAGAATAGAAGGGGCAGTGTGTGTGTGTGGAAAAAAAAAAAACAAACTGTGAATGGCTCATTAAATCAATTATCATTTATTTGGTGGTCTCCTTACCACTCGGATAACCGTGGTAGTTCTAGAGCTAATACGTGCAGCATATCCCGACTTCTGGAAGGGATGTATTTATTGGATAAAAGGCCGATCCGGGCTTGCCCGTTGTTGCGGCGAATCATGGTGACTTGTCGAATCGCATGGCCTTTGAGCCGGCGATGTTCCATTCAAATTTCTGCCCTATCCACTTTCGATGGTAGGATAGAGGCCTACCATGGTGGTAACGGGTGACGGAGAATTAGGGTTCGATTTCGGAGAGGGAGCCTGAGTGATGGCTACCACATCCAAGGAAGGCAGCAGGCGCGTACATTACCCAATCCTGACATAGGGAGGTAGTGACAATAAATAACAATACTGGGCTCTTTCGAGTCCGGTAATTGGAATGAGAACAGTCGTAAACTCCTTGAACGAGGATCCATTGGAGGGCAAGTCTGGTGCCAGCAGCCGCGGTAATTCCAGCTCCAATAGCGTATATTTAAGTTGTTGCWGTTAAAAAGCTCGTAGTTGGATTTTAGGTGGGAGGGGTTGATCCGCTCTTGCGGGCGTGCACCGGCCCTTTCGCCTTTCTTGCCGGGTATGCGTTCCTTGCCTTTATTGGCTGGGATCCAGAGCCGGCGCTGTTACTTTGAAAAAATTAGAGTGTTCAAAGCAGGCCTGTGCTCTGAACATATTAGCATGGAATAACGCGATAGGACTCTGGTCCTATTTCGTTGGTCTTCGGGATTGGAGTAATGATTAATAGAGACGGTTGGGGGCATTCGTATTCCATTGTAAGAGGTGAAATTCTTGGATTTATGGATGACGAACTTCTGCGAAAGCATT